TACACATCACTACACACTACTACATCAATATCGCACGCATACATACTCACAAATTGTCGGTAAAACAGCGGATTTTTAGAGTTTGATCTAGGGTTTAGCATCCTCTTAAACACTTATAATTCAAAAACTATTATAGCCTCAACATTTTGGTATTGGAACTTTTGTCTTAAAATGATCTCAGGAATCTACCCTTAAGCGTTGGTCCGGTCATTACGGTATACCCTGTATATATATATGTATCTCCGAAAAGTTTCCGGACAGAAATTAAATTTTTATGTTTGAAGTTTTAAGCTGAATTTAATGCGGCACTGTGCTCAATCAAAGAGTAGATGATTTTGGCATTTTAAGAGATACTTTAAGATACTCTGTAACGATTTTAAGTTTAATGCATCTTTACTACTCTAAACTCTTAAGACGATGCTGGAATACCGATATTTGCATTCTAATGGATAACTCCGAAACGAGTGAACGGATTTAAAAACGCTTTTATAGGTTTGAAATAAACATAAAATGTCATCGCGCTAGGTATATATGAGTAGTAAAGACGAAAAAATATTAAAAAATTACCTTTTTTGGGAATCATAATCTGTCACCTGACGTAAACATTTTATTAGTACAAAAGTTCTGCAGCTCATATGTACAAAAAAAGTACCTAGCGCGATCCATCGGATTACTTGCACGAATAATACAAGACGTTTTGAGCTACGATTGGAAGCATAGAAAAAACGTTGTTTATTAGAATGCAATTTGTGGTAATTCGTACGCTCGGCTAAAGTAAAGACAGCAAAAATTGCGTCTGGCAATAAGTGTCGGATTTTCCAAGAGATGGCACTTCAATTAGTTAAATAAGGACATTCCACGTGTTTGAGTGAGACCAGAAGATATTGTAAGAAGTTCATTTAGAGATACCACTGACACTGAAGAGTCTACTTTATCGACCTTGTGCAAATTTTTCCGACCTTCCGGCATCGCCTTAAGGCATTCGTGTCCCCGTCTGTACATAGCGTACGTGGTGCTCGGTGTAGCCATAACATAAAAGGAGGAAAATATTTTATAAGGATTGTCCCAACAAATCATATCTATTATCCCGTTTTAACACAAAACACTACTCGTTACACTACTTTAATTGTAAAATATTTATTGATTAAATAATTATTGATAAATGTTTATATAAGATGTCATATTTATTAAATAATTTTATTAATTGTTAGTTTTATTAAACACATATTTAATAAAACTTATCGAGCACGAAGATCGAGCTCAAACCAAAAAGGCAGTTTCTTTCTTATAATTATAAATGTATCGGTGTAGAATTAAGATTGGGGGAGTTTGCACAATTTTCACAATTTTTGACTTTTAAACAATTATTTATTATTATTAAATTATATTAATATGATAAAAAGAATCTCCCCCTATATCTTTATGACAGGAACGATTTTGTACTGTTGTTCCTGTCATAAAGATATAGAGAAAGATTCTTTTTATCATATTAATATTATATAATTTAATAATAACCTCGTTGTTCCGCAATAAATTTTATATTCTCCATTAGACCTTCTTATGCCTAATAATTTTTATAGTTTTCTAATTATTATAAAATAAATACATATTATTTCACAAGTATTAACATATCGCGCATGAGCTAGCAGTGTAGACAACAAATCACGTAAAATACAGCATGGAAATAGAGCATGGAATATGTTAAGGTATCTTTTCGTGCTGACGCTTGACGCTCATTTTTAGCGTCAAAATAGATCACGTGATCAAAATTGATGCTTAGTATTCGTCAATTTTGATCATGTTAATCTGTTTTGACGCTAAAAATGAGGGTCGAGCATCAGCATGAAATCGCACCTTTAATCGTTCTATCAATGCATCTCTCTTCACCAATGTATCGGATACTTAAATACTCACCGGACATTACTATTTCGTATTTCAGAATAATCAATTTGCCATGCAAAAACGTCATTATAGCAACTAGTTGCTAAGCCTCGAAAATTCTCTCTTTCTTTCTCTCTCATATTATAAAAAAATCTCCAAACAATAACAATCTTGATGTATCTTAAGCCTCATGTACGTATTTTAAGTCGAAAAAAAAAACAAATTTGTAACACACTCAATATTTTATGCCAATATTTTATGCCGTATTGCCAATATTCAGTCAACATGAACAAATATGTCAACACAGACAGATCTATGCAAACGTATAAGTACTCCTGCAGGTTTTGCATGTATCTGAATGTTTTCTTGTGCTGTTTTTTATTAATTCATAATATTTGCACAAAATGTTATCGTGGTGGAATTATCGCGGGCGCATTTTGCATGGTAAAGAAGAACTAGTCATAAAAAACAATTTTTTAAGTACTATACATATATTAGCAAAATAGTTATGTATTATTCACTACTAGAATTATTGTTATTATCTTAGATTGTATGCAAAAAAAAAGAAGAATGTTTAAAGTTATTATATTACAGTGGAACCTCGATAACTCGAACCTTTACAACTCAAAAACCTCTATAAGACGAAAATTTTGATCATTCCCTTCCGCTCCGCTGCGGAAAATCTCTATAAATCAAAATAAAACCTATCTTAACTCGAATTATTTATCAGGCACTTAGATATATATTTTACCTCTGTAACTCGAATTTAAAGTAGCCAGACCTTTACAAGTCAAAATACATCTCTGTTAGTCGAATTTACATTGTCGCTATATCTCTATAATTCGAAGTTGTAGCTATGTGTAACCGTGAGTAATAATCTGGTATTTTGTTTTATGGTTACATTTATCATATGTATGCAATAAATAATTTACTGTTAAATATTGATTTTTTTCCTCTGAAAGCCATTATATATCGGAAAATTATAAATTCTCGTAAAGCCTCCGTAAGTCGAATTTTCATATGTTAACTCCCTTTTACTCGAATTTCGATAAGTCGAAAACTCTATAATTCTATAACTCAACAACAATTTTTTTGGTCCCTTGAGATTCGAATTACCGAGGTTCGACTGTATTAGGTCTCGTCAATTCCTATAAGATAGTAAATATTCAGAAAGAAAAAATAAAATTAGATTTCTTATAGTGCATTACTGTTCTGCAGGGAAACTAAAATACTAAATA